AATTAAGGTAATATCGCTAACTATAAATAATTTTATGTTTATATTAATTACTCTGATACGCTTACGTACAAATTTTTATTAAGTGTTTTTTAATGATAAATAAATCAGAAACAGATAAACTTTTGTTTAGTGGAACGCAATATTTAACAAATTTTTATTAAAAAGTATTTTTTAGCAATAAATAATTAGAAACAGATAAGTTGAGCGCAGTATTTAAAAAATTGCAGTATATTTAAAAAATTGCATTTTTTTTTTTACGAAATAAAATTGCTACGCATAATTTACAAATTATTATCTGTTATCGTTATCGTTATCGAAATTTAATCACTAGCTATAGAATAATTTTTTAAAACGTGATTTTTAATTCATTACTAGTCGGCTGCGGCTGCGGCTGCAATGTACAGCTATGGAAGGACAAAATTTTTTAAAAAAATTTTTTGTTTTATAAAAGGATTCTAATAAAACTTACAAGAAATCCTCCTTTTTCTTGTGAGCGGGATTCTCGCATTACGGTCCATAATAAAAATTTGTCATTTCCTTTTTCCTTTTCCACCCGTCTATTGATTAAGCGAAAATATGGTAAATTTAATTCTTTTTTTTTTTCTTTAGCTAAAATTACTGGTAGTCCAGGAAAATTTTTTTTTAGTTTGGCAATTATAAAGTCAAGATGTGTAACTGAAAATATAAATTCTTTTATCGAAAAAATAATAGGTGAACTTTACAGTAGATCAAATTCGTGCCCTTGTAAGTAAACTGGCGTTTTATATGAATAAAAGCGGAAATAGATCCAAGAAACGAAAAAATCAAGGGTAAAACTTGCATTTTATTTAACTCAACATTAGATGGACCGAGTTTCAAACGTGCGTAACATGTCGGTTATCGCACATGTCGACCACGGCAAGTCCACACTTACCGACTCCTTGGTATCTAAAGCTGGTATTATTTCTTCGGCAAAAGCTGGTGAAGCACGGTTTACTGATACTCGTCAGGACGAACAAGATCGATGTATTACAATCAAATCGACGGCTATTTCAATGTATTTTGAATTGAATAAGGATGATCTCGGGGATGTAAAACAAAAAACCGAGGGTAAGATAATTTATGTATATGAATTGGTGATCATGATTTCTTTATTCGACATTAATCGATGTTATGTAGGTAATGAATTCTTGATCAATTTGATCGATTCCCCCGGCCACGTTGATTTCTCTTCGGAAGTTACTGCTGCCCTCCGTGTCACCGATGGTGCTCTGGTTGTTGTAGATTGTGTTGAGGGTGTGTGCGTACAAACAGAAACTGTTTTACGTCAGGCTCTTACAGAACGTATCAAACCAGTAGTTATTATTAACAAGGTCGATCGTGCCTTGTTGGAATTACAACTTACAAAAGAAGACTTATATACAGTATGTTTTATTACATTCTCATTTTCATTCCTCAAACATCTAACATAGCAATTCACTTACATGTATAATTAACATCATCACGACTATGATTTAGTCGTTCCAACGCACTGTCGAATCTGTGAATGTCATTGTCTCAACATATTTTGACAGATCTCTTGGTGAAATTCAAGTTTACCCAGAAAAGGGTACTGTTGCTTTCGGTTCTGGCCTTCACGGCTGGGGTTTCACCCTACGTCAATTTGCTCAACGTTACTCCAAAAAATTTGGTGTTGATCAAGATAAAATGATGCAAAAACTTTGGGGTGAAAACTATTTTAATCCTGCTACAAAGAAATGGTCTACGAAACCAAATACACCTGAAGGCAAACCTCTTGAACGTGCATTCTGCATGTTCGTCTTGGAACCCATCTTTAAATTGTTTGATGCTATCATGAATTTCAAAAAAGATGAGGCTAATAAAATGATAGAAAAACTGGAAATCAAGCTTACTTCAGAAGAAAGAGAAAAAGAAGGCAAAGCTCTCTTAAAGATTGTCATGCGCAAGTTCTTACCTGCCGCAGAAGCTTTACTAGAAATGATAGTTATTCATCTTCCATCACCTGTTACTGCTCAAAAATATCGTGCTGAAATGTTATACGAAGGTCCTGCTGATGATGAATGTGCTATCGGTATCCGTGATTGTGATCCTAATGCACCTCTTATGTTGTACGTCTCTAAAATGGTACCGACTTCAGATAAAGGCCGTTTCTACGCTTTCGGTCGTGTGTTTTCTGGAACTGTTCGGTCTGGTCTTAAAGTCCGTATTCAAGGTCCTAACTATCAACCTGGAAAAAAGGAAGATTTGTTTGTAAAGTCCATCCAACGCACTATTCTCATGATGGGTCGTTATGTTGAACCTATTGAAGATTGTCCTGCCGGCAATATTGTTGGTCTTGTTGGTGTTGACCAATATTTACTTAAATCCGGAACAATCACCACCTCCGATACTGCGCATAACTTAAAGGTTATGAAATTCTCAGTTTCACCTGTCGTACAAGTCGCTGTTGATGTGAAGAACGCAAATGATTTACCAAAACTAGTAGAAGGATTGAAGCGTCTTTCAAAATCTGATCCTTGCGTCCAATGTTATACTGCTGAAACTGGTGAACACATTGTAGCCGGAGCTGGTGAATTACATTTGGAAATTTGCTTAAAGGACTTGGAAGAAGATCATGCCCAAATTCCAATAAAAACCGGTGATCCTGTAGTATCATACCGTGAAACTGTTCAAGCCGAATCATCCATTACTGCACTATCTAAATCACCTAATAAACACAATCGTCTATATATGAAAGCTTTCCCAATGGATGAAGAACTTGCCGCTAATATTGAATCTGGAAAGATTACACCACGTGATGATTTCAAAGCACGTGCTCGTGTTCTTGCTGAAGAATATGGTTGGGATGTAACTGATGCTCGTAAGATTTGGTGTTTCGGTCCAGAATCCGTTGGAGCAAACTTATTAGTGGATGTAACCAAAGGTGTTCAATATCTTAATGAAATTAAGGATTCTTGTATCGCTGCCTTCCAATGGGCCACAAAAGAAGGCGTTTGTGCAGAAGAAAATATGCGTTCTTGTCGTTTCAATGTTATGGATGTGGTGTTACATGCTGACGCTATTCATCGTGGTGGTGGTCAAATCATCCCTACATGTCGTCGTGTAATTTATGCATCATATTTGACAGCAAATCCTGGTCTTCTGGAACCAGTCTATCTTGTTGAAATTCAATGCCCGGAACAAGCTATGGGTGGTATTTATGGTGTATTGAACAGACGTCGTGGTAATGTCTTTGCTGAAGAGCAGCGACCTGGTACTCCACTATACAACGTCAAGGCTTATTTACCTGCAAGTATTTTACACATCTTTATGCAAATCTGTTCAAAATTTCAAACTTTGAACCTTTTTTAACCTAATTTTAAATGATTAGGTAAATGAATCATTTGGTTTTACAGCTGACCTACGATCAAATACTGGTGGTCAAGCATTCCCTCAATGTAAAATTTTTTTTATAAGTTTTATCTTATTTTGTTTCGAAAAAAAGAAATGACTATTTATTAATTGATTATTATTTGATTATTATTATTATTGTTAAAAACTGTTATAGGTGTATTTTCACATTGTAAGTGTCTCTTTTCGTCTTTATCATTGGTTTTTTTTTAGTAATTTTAATATTTATTTTTTTTCGTTCTTTTAATCGATTCATAGGGCAATTAATGAATGGAACACCGTTAGAACCTGGAAAAGTTTGTGATATCGTAAAATCAGTAAGGAAAAGGAAAGGTCTTAACGAAGAAATTCCGTCTCTCGACAAATTTTTGGATAAATTGTAATTTGTTGAAATGTTTAGAGGCCTGCCTTGTTACTTTAGAGTAAACTAATGTTTTTTTTAATGGGTTGAATTAAAATAGTATCAAGAAAAAAAAAAAGCCGAATTTAAATATTTCCGTTTTTTTAAATGGACATGATTGTATAATAAAAAAAAAAAATTGTGATGCAAATTTCTTTTTTGAATTTTAATCATATATCAATCTATATAATGTTTTTTCGGTTCAGTTATCCGAGCTGGCATAATTGATCCTTCCTAAAAGCGTTAAAAGGACATGCTTGTGTACTTAATGACATACCGCGTAATTTATTATACTATATATAATATATATCGATATTACCAATTTTTTTTAAAGTCAAACGTAACCATTTGGGCTAATTTTGATTGTGATCTAAATAGCAAAACCGATTACTTATAATTCTGGTCAAATTTGCCGATCGTTTGGCCAAGTTCAAAAGATTTTTGATTATGAATCTGACCAGAGTTATAAGTAATCGGTTTCGCTACAATCAAAATTAGTCCTAACGCAACTCTATAAAATTATTTTATAGTAAAATACATAGAAATGTTTTTTTGTAGTGTTTAAAATATTACAGATAATAAACTGGTACTATATTTAAATTTTATTTTTATTTAATAATGCATATTTTTATTGTAAAATTAATTATTTCAAATTTGGTAAGGCCAATTCTTTACCACTAGGGTTGTTACCGGTAATGGGTTGGGTTGGGTTGGTTTGGGTTGACCCAATCTTCAACCCACTCCACTAAATTAGACTTACTCCAATGTTTTGCTCCGGGTTGCTCCATAGTGCTTCAGGTTGCTCCAAATTTAAAGGCATAATTTTAATCCACTCCAACTTGGGTTGGGTTCTACTCCGGAGTGCTCTGGAGTAAGCTACTCCATTAACAACCCTATTTACCACAGACCATCCTTATATTCACCACTTCTCTCACTACTCCAGTTTTTAGTTGCTGTTGTATTACTCTTCCAGTACTGTGATACCAGTTTAGGATTTATGTATGCAACCTAGTGATTATTCTTTCAATCAAGTTTTTTACAAGTTGGATATAGAGATGTTATATAGGCGAATTTGACTCCATTTATTATATCACAAAATTTGATTTTGTCACATTTGATAATCAATCAATCAAACAAATCAGAAATTTCTGATATAATATTTTTAAAAATTCTGATATCTATGTTACCAAGATTAGATTTTCAATAGTCAGTAAATACCAACTTTGTCAAGAGATTTTTTCTTCTTGACAAAAACTTGTAGCTCACGAAAGACTTAAGCATCAAAACAACAAAATTATACCATACCAATATTTACTTTTTCAGCCTCCTTTTAAGCAAATAACCTTTTATCAAGATGTATTTATAGTTTTTATCAAAAGATATCTTGGTTTTAATAGACGCACAATAGGCACAAAACAAGCTATCATTAATGCTTTTCTGAAAAATATATTCGTTTATCTCTTTGAATATGAATCTTCTTTCCAATATAGCTCTGTGCAATAGAAGTATACTTGTTTGTTTCAAGTGAGGTTGACGAACAAAAACTAAAACAGTTAGTTAATTATGATTATTGGAATATTCATCAACACCCGTAATTAAAAATTATTGGTTATGTTTTATTTATAGATGAGAGTTCTTACAGAGTTAATTTTAATTGGTCACAATCAGAATTAGAAGAGAATGGTTATATTTTTCAATGCGGTACTGTCACTTGTAAATTTATAATAGATTCAAAAGAATTCTCTGAAAGGTAAGAAAAATATGGAGTTGTTAATAAAATAACTTTTCAAAAATTTTTTTTTTAAAAAAATTTATTAACTTTCTATTTTTTATAAGATTTGTCATATTACAAGCAAATCACACTACTTCGCAACTATCAAATTCACAAGTCAGTAATTTGTATAAAAATTCCTTCTCAAATAAGATAAAGTCAATTCAAGATCAAAAAAACTATAGATTTATTTTACCCTGTATACCTTTTCAGCAACTTAACAGATAGATTGTAAATATGTATGTGTGGTTTATTTAGTCTGATAATTTATCAAATTAGGACAATATAAATTGTTCTTTTTATAGTATAAGAATATTGATCAGAAAATTTTAGACTATGGATCATCATCTGATTGGCTAATTACAAAGATCAAAAAAATTAAGCGAAGCTAACTTTGTTTTAATTTTAGTTCATTATTTATTATATTTGAAAAATTACTTTATTTTTATTTTCAGTTATTACGATCTTTATTAGAGATGCATCACAACATTTAATCTATATAATTAACAAAACAATATTACTATACACATTATTGACCCACTACTTTATTAAATCAAAGCAAAGTTATGTCTGCTAATCAAATAGTCTAATCCTATAATATTAAACAATATAGCAATATATAGATATAAGAGTTAGTATAAGCTTCTTATTATTATAATAATAGGTTGAATAGTATATACTAAATTTTTTAAGTTTAATCTTATTCTTAACATCTCAATTTTTTTTCTTTGTTGATTGTTTCCAGCACTATACCAATATAATTTATAATAAATAGTAACAATTAATATTAATATTCGTTTAAAGTTAAAAATAGTTTTTATTGCAGTTTTTCTGTTTACAAAACATTTTATATACTTATTTATTAATATGACCAGTAATCTTTGTTCTAAATTGATGCAACAGCATAATATTTCTTTCATACCAGTTAAGCAAAAATTAGTTTTTTAATATTTTATTTACTTTAATGAAATAGTTTAAACTTGAAAGATTAATTAGTATTAATGAAACTAGACATTCTATATTACTTGTTTAAAACTTTCTTTTTAACTAATAGTTATAAAAAAAAATTTTTGTCAAACATTAAAATTCAGAAATAAAAATATATATAATTTATATAATAGCTAATCAAATACAAGAATCGACATGAAAGATCATTCTAGAATGTGATTTTCTAATTCAGTAAATCATCAGACTGTTATATATTTTATTATGTAAAAATTTGATTTTATAAATTATTTGAAGATTAAAACTAAGTTTTCTTATTTTCAAAAGTTCGCTAATATAAGTAATTTTGAAAGGATAAGAATTTCATTTATTATAATAAATCAACAAAATTGAAATAGAAAAGATAGCTATAAGATATCTGTTGAGATAACTTGTAATATAGATACAATATTTATATTCATTTAATGCTATCAATCTGTAATTGAGATCGATATGATTATTATAAAGTATTTACTCATATAATAAAGTATATAAAATTAAAATTTAAAAAAAATGTAGAACATTCATACCCTATTAAAAATATATTAAATTCTGATAAAAAATTATTTACACCTTACAGCTTCTGAATTGAAGTTGAAAGAATAATTACAAGGTATTAAGATATTTATGAATTTTCTAAAATAATTTTGACTAAATATTCATACACATAATCTAACAAATTAAAAATCTTAATATTTAACCAGATAATAACACTTTTCTGTAATATTATAAAATGAATATTAAATAAAATTAATTATTACCATTTTTCAATAAAAAAATAAAATAATCATTATAATTTCTAAACTATTAAATGATTTACCTCAACCAATAAGACTATGTCTACTAAGAATTTCATCAGTGCTTTTACTTTTATTGCTACAAGATATGTTTGCTTATTGTAAAAATTTCAAAATGAATTTTGATAAACTAGATAATAACTACAAAAGAACAAAATAAGGTATATTAAAAAAACAGATTATGTGATTTAAAATAAAATTTTGAGTATTATTATTTTTTAATAAAAATAAAACTATTAATTAACTTATTTATTCCAACCAATAGGATTATACCTACTAAGAATTTCATCAGTATTTTTAATCACTTATCGCAAATATTTCAAACTAATTTTTTAGTAAAACCAAATAATAGTATTTTCTAATTGTATAAGAACAGAATAAATAAAATTATAAAATGAACTTAATATAAAACTTTAAAAGCTATTATTTTTTAATAAAAAATAAAGCTATCATTATAAATCAACCTAATCTCCTGATTACTATATCAAGATCACAGAGGATTAATTGTAGCAGATTATAATAAAATCAGATTAAAAATATGTATAGTGATAGTATAAAAAAATTGACAAGCCAGTGAAAAATAAAATTTTTTGAGGTGTATTTTTTAGGGTTACGAGTTAAAGTTAAAGATTAGTTTTAATATTAAACAAGTATAAATGGGTTTTAGAAGATTAAATAGAAACCCATATTTTTAATCTGATTTCATCATCGTTATGATCTGTGACATTAATTAATAATATAGAAAAATTACAAATAAGAGCCCAAAATCAAAAATAATTACAGATAAAGGCCCAAAATTAAATAATTATCAACTTATTACAAATAATTATTTTCAATTTTGGTCTCCTATCTGTAATTTCCCCTAATAATATCCTAATCTGTATATGAATAAGCAAAATAAGATTTCTACTAATTTCTAACAAATCAAGATATTATTATTATTAATCTCCTGATTATCATATTAAAATTACAGAAGGATTAATTAATAATATTCTAATTAGTATATAAATAAGTGAAAACTTTGTTTCTGCTAATTCCCAAAGGATCAGTTATAAATCAACTAATTTATTCAACTAATAGGGCTATATCCATCAAGGATTTCATCAGTACTTTTAATCTTTATAATTATATAATATATTTGCATATCACAAAAATTTCAAAATTAATCTTCAGTAAACAATCTCTAGTTTTATGAAAAAATAATTTAGATTCATATAAATCATTTGTTAAAGATCATATAAAACAGTTTCAGCTACACTTTGTATTTCTAGTATATTAAAATAATATATATCCTATATCTCTATTTCTTATCAATACAATGAATTTTCTTTATCAGGAGTATTAATATTTCGAATAGTGGTCTTTCTAAAAATATTGTTTATTAAGTAAAAAAGCTGTCGATTTTTGAAAGACATTATATCATAAACAACA